GACGGAATTGTCTAGAAAACCTTCCCACGGCTATAAATATAACCAACGCGACGCGCCAAGGAGAGTATTTATTATTAGTTCACTATAATCAGTGTGCTATAAACTTCGAAAGCTATAACTGTGATTTTCATAACACTTATCAATCGGAAAACTTAAGATATTTGACCAGGAATATTTATAAATTTCGAACGTTACAAATCATTTAACTTCAATGGATTCTCATCGGACATTAGTAATTTTACGAAAACATATAAATTCATCGTGGAGAGCTCAGTGTGTGTGGCAAAGGACAAAGCTAGCTAGCTTCCCAGCGAATCGTATCTACATCAACTCGTAATTAACTCGCTCATCGTAAACCCTCGGTATTAAGGAAGTTCCGGACTAGAAAGAAAACTTTGTAGTGTTTGTAAGTTTGCGAAACTTTTGTTTATAAATCTTTGTAATAATCGTTACTGTAAATTGTAAATTGTGTGTATATTAAAACGTATTTGTGTTAAAAATGAAAACGGTGTGTATCAATCTTGTTGGCAAATATCGTAAATTGACTAAAATATCGGCATATATTTAAATACTAAATCCAAAATACAATTTAACTACTACATTTAAATTATCAGTTAACTCGGTTTCGGGCTAATTCTAAATTCTAAAAAGTAGCACTGGCTCTCTCAAAAAAAATTAATTTAATGCCATTTTTGTTGCTTCTTTATTGACATTGATAAGTAACGCTATTTAAGTTCAGAAGTTACGGAAATGATATTTCGTTGTAAAAAAATAAAACTATTATATGCTTATCGTCATAAAATATTTCTTTGTGCTAAAGTTTATTTCGTACCACCTTTTCATTTTTATGCTCTTTTAGAAAATATAAACTTTTGGTATACTCACTCTTTAGCTTCATCACTAGGAAGATACAGGTCAAAATCGGTAAAAAGAATTTGAACCCTCTCACGACCTCTACCGGTAAAATGGTACACACAATGAATGTTGACTGGATATGGTCCTGAGTAGTTGGAACTCGTAAAGGTTCCGTTTTTGGAGTTGTCGCTGTCGATTGTTTGTATACAAGGTGGCGCTGTCGAGCAAAAAAATGAAACGTATGAATGATGTAATTATAATGTATAACAAATAAAGAAATAAAGAGGAGGAAGAAAGACTTTATTTTATTCTTTATTTGATAATTTTTGTGACATATAATTGACATATCACTGCCACTATCAATTGTTAACCTATTATCATATATTTTAATTACATCTTTGTCAAACAAAAAGATTTTGTTAATTTCATAGTTAACGTATTTGCAAACAAGGTTCTTGATGTTCCGCAAATTCTAACTTGAATATAACGGAATTTAGATTAATGTTTTGACGTATGTACTTATCTGCTTAATAACGAGCAAGACATTTAATTGAACGCAGAAAACGAAAAACAAAATGAAAATGAGAGAATAGTACATGTATAACGTTTCACATGCGATCCAGCTTTGCTTCATTAGTTACAGTGCTCATCTGTTTTCCAGCGCTAATAAGGTCAGCAGCCGGAAAACATCTTCAAGAAGGAAAAGCAGCGCTAAATTACATGTCACTGATGTGACACAAGTGCCGGAAATTAATATCCAGGATTAATATCCCGTAGAAAAATGTAGACGGCTTAATTCTATGATGTGTAATAAAGGCATATAAAATTACTACTGGAAATAGACGTGTATATTTTAAGAACTGAAACTAAAATCTAATTTTATCTGAGTTTAAAGAAAAATATTTTTAATTTAAGTGTGTAAGATTTAAGACTTAAGAAAAAATCTCGTACTGATGTATAAAATGAAAATTATATATAATAAACTTGTGCCCAAACAATGTCTTTAACTAATATTATTTTATCCAAATGTACCAACCTTTAAGCCTTAATCAAACTTCTGCAATATATATATTCAATGGTATATTTATTTTGCTGTATTATTTATAGTTTATTAAGTAACTCCAAAACAGTTTGCTTAATTTCCAATTTCCTAATTAAAATAAAAACACGAGCTATCACTACAGTATATACTTAGACGACGATACAGATTTGGTACATAAGATCCTATTTTAGAATTATTTTAAAACAGCAGTTTAGTTGAGAACAATGTGTAACACCTCCTAATTAAAGGAAAACCTAATGGTCTTGTTTCTCGTATTAGTATTTTTTTGTAACTCCATCATGATATTTTACTTGTCCAAACAATAAAAAAAATGTTTTGGGAGCTTCTGTTTTTAGATTTTTAAATATAATTTCTGTAAACAGCAGTAGAAAGCAAGACATGTTTTAAGTGGTTGACACACTGTGATGTTAAGGAAACATTTCGGTTTTCTATTTTCTTACTCTCCTCCTCGCTAGTCTCATTTTAATAACTTCAATATGTGTCACACCTCATCCATTTAACTGGTGACCAAGTGTTAATAAGGACAAAGGAAGAGTTTTCTTGGCCTTAATATGTTCCTGAGCCGGACGTGGCCTAATGGTTAGTGTATCGGAACTGTAACTTCGAGAGTTCACGTTCCATTGCTGTATGATCGCTCTCCACACTTTTGGGGCCATGAATGGTTATAATAGTGACGATTAAATCTTACTATTCGAATAAAGTAGCCCAAGAGCTAGCAGTAGATGTTTTTAATTAGCTGCCTTCCCACTAGTCTATCATTTCAAAATAACAGATATCTGGCGTAGATAGTCTTTGTGTAGCTTTGAGCGAATATTCGAAATGCTCTATAATCTCCTCCTCGATCAACTCATCTTCCCAATTTCAGTAAGTTATATCTCATCCATGTGGGAAGTGAGCAAAATTGACAAAAAGATTATCAGGGTTGTAAAAAGATTAAAGAAGATAAATAATGCAAAAAAAAGCGCTTCCCGCATGAAAGTAAAAGCTGGGGTCTTTCCTCAAAAACTTTTTGCCATTTACCTCTTTACTTATTATACGGTAAATGTAATTCTTAGCATATATATATAAGCATGTAGAGAAATATTAGACTTAACAGTATTAAAAATAAATTTCCGTACTAGGTTTTTACTAAATATCTCACACATATTGTTAAAATTTCATCACTCGAGATTTTATTTTAGTTTGACTCATAGTACTGTTCAGAAAACTAGTAGACACTCACACGAGGAGTGTTGCGAACTAACTATACTAAATAAAATATGCGCTCTTTAATGAGTTGGATACTTTACTTACATCCATATTTAAAATCGATACATTGCCTAGAATATTCAATAGCTTAGCACGCTAATCTACGTTTCAACAACATATATTATTCTAATTTGCACCAACAAACTGGTCAACAGTCTTCTTCCCGTAGAGGCTCTTCACATTTATCATTGTATGTAAAACAATTACTGGAAAAAATCTAACGAATTATCATGAATACAAATATAAGTCTAATAGGTAAGTATACAAACGGACGGACTGACAAATCAAAATATCCCCATTCTCCATCAATTTAAGTTGTGGGTGCGTTATAAGAGTTACAGTAAATTCCTTGGCGTGAATAGTGGATGATAGGATGCTGGTCACTGCAATTCAAAATTAGTGATAGTGGAATATAACCTTAGTAGTTTTGCCATAAATACGAAAATACAAGTAGAAATATAACTGGCAATAACCCAACTCATCCACCATTTAACGGCAAGTAATAATACATTACACGTCATTTAATATATGCATTAATTCATAATTAGGGACGACAATCCTTTATGTTGCTTTGCATGAAAATTCGAAACAAACAATCAGAGTGTATGATCCTTAAAAAAACTACTTATCCCATTCGTAATACCACGGATAAAACAAACTGAAGGAACAAGACCTCTGTGGTGTGCTACAGAACACCTTCTATCAGGTCCTCTGTGGTGTGCTACAGAACACCTTCTATCAGATGATTAACGATTATCAGTAACTTATGATCAAAGCTACAACCTGCCTAGATTAGAACTGAAAATTGACCCAGTAATTTAATACATAGTCATAAAACCAAAACTAATAATGATTAGAATGTTATTCATCATTACGAGGGCACCCTCGCTGTTAACGATATTTCAGAGCGTAAGTCGACCGTGTAAAGTCTTATACTGTAAACATTAGATAACATCATTACGAAAATTTTGTAACACTTCCCTCAAATTAGCAATAATTTAGTTACATATTTTAAAATCAGAATTTGTCCATGTGAAAGTCAACAGACGGATTTTTTGAAACTGGTTCTTACCATAAACAAAAGGTTTTGTACATTTAAAGAAGACTCTGAGATATTACTAAATTCTTCATTTGCAGATTGAACAGTCACTGATTCTTTTTCTCACAACTCCAATGCCACTAGCATTAAGTTGTTGCAAAAGAAAATCCGCAAAGTGTATTATTCAATCTATTTCTAACTTGCAGTGTTCGTTTACATCAAGCTAGAGCAGTTTTATAACTAGCGAAAACAGTTCCTATGTCTAATACCTCTAAAGAAATGAAAAGGCGTCTGTAAAAGTATCTTTAAGGCGAACATAAAACGTGGTCAATACTTTATATGAGTAAAGAATGACCCAAAGTGATACTTCTTAAGTATGCAAACATAATCTGATGCTTAAGCTCATTAAAAACTTTATTTTGATCTAAATTAATTAAAGAAAATGACTGATTTTCCTCAATATTCCTACCAGAAATTGTAAAGATTTCGTTCTCGTAAAGAGTATTAGAAATCCCACGTTTCAATCTCTTTGTAAAGACTTTCGTACTCATTTTATAGTCAGTTCCCGTAAGTGAAAGCAGCGTTCAAGTCTTCAGAAATGCAACACTTAATTTTCTGGTATAAAACACAAATTTCCGATTCTAGTAATCTTAAATAATGAAGTTACTTTAAATACTTCCATAATACAACTGCCTATTTTTACCCAAAACCTTCGATAAAAGTTAGCAATCAGATCATTTATTCAAGGATAAGCTTTCGTTGATTCTTCTAAGATTTACACTTTGTTCTAAATAATTCCAGTCTTCATGGAACTAACTGCATAAAGAGTGTCACTGGTTACTAGACTTTTTCTCTCTGAGTGAGTTCCTGATGGGAGAGTATCACTGGTTACTAGACTTTCTTTCTTTGTGTGAGTTCCTGGTGTGGAGAGTATCACTGGTTACTAGGCTTTCTCTCTCTGAGTGAATTCCTGGTGTGAAGAGTATTACTGGTTACTAGGCTTTCTCTCTTTAAGTGAATTTCCGGCATGGAGAGTATTTACTTTCAATAAAAGATATATTTACCTGCTCTTTGCAGTATTTTCTCATCACAGATAATGGTGCAGGAATGTTAATCTTGTACTTTAAAATGTTTCATCACTTAATCCAACAGGTATAATGCATTCCTTTTTTTCATAACTAATCAAATTTGTAGTTTATTGGATATATTCTCAGTTTTGAACTAAATTACACTTCAAGTTCCTAGAAGCACGTGTCTTTTCATGTAGAAAGAAATAGGAATAGAAAATAAGATATATTATCCGAAACGTGTTTTATTTTCTGCAGTTTCTTTAATTTTAAGCAAAACATCTAGAAATGCAAAAAATCTATTCAACTTTGGCTCCACACTAATTTAATTGACTGACCAAGTAAAGTAACGAGAGTAAGAGAAAATAATATCTAGAAACATTTGTCTTTTTCTCGCAAAATTTTCTTTTGCCCACCTACTTTTGGTTCAAACTTCCTTTAAATCTCGTTCAGAGTGGATATGTTTACTTGGTTCTACTTGGTTTATGATGCAATTTCAAACATGTGTGACATATATAAAGTAACACAACTGATTTCCTTTTTATTTAAACCTCATTCAAATAAGTCTACCTACACCAGCCTTACATTTATATCTCATTGAGATTTTCCATTTTCTATTCTAACCTAGTGTTAAACCTTGTAAGTCATTTGTATATTTTAAAGCTAGTTTAAGCTTTTAAAGAAACACAATGACTTTCTCTTCAAGTCTTAGAAAGGGACAAGTAGTGCCTTGTTCATCACTTTGTGTAGTTTAAAGACAGTTTAAATTTTTAAATAGATCCACGGACTTTCTCTTCAAG